TTTTCTTCCTTAACATTTGTTTGTTGTAATGCAAATCTGCACAATTGGTTACCTGAACTTTATCCACCATGGGGAATCAAACTCCAGAGTTGAACATAGTAATTTTGTGAACTTACGACTGACCCACTGAAGGACTTTGTAACATTGAAGGAGTTTCAGAGGAGACTGAATGATTATTTCAGAGATCAGACTTGGATGTAAGAAAAATACTTTAGACATGTAGCCTTCAGTATGATAGTACAGAAAATGCAATAGCCTAGATTGGTGGTGTGCAAACTTATTTTTTATGTTCTTCTCTTCTTCCGAATTTGCAGTTTGATGCACTGCCCCCTTCCCCATTTTCACAGTGTATAAAATTAAAATGGCAAACAGTGTCAGTGTAATTACCATCCTAATGTGGAGGATGGGCTTGACCCTGGGAGCTTGGGATTGGATGAGGCCCATTCTTGGCTGAAATGTTGACACAACAACTCAGATATCCCCTTCCTCCCATATCAGCAGATGAGATTTCTGTTAGAATAGAAAACACAAATTTGTATAGGTATGGTGTGAAAGGCAAAAGCATGTCTGCTGCTTTTCTCGACAGATCAGGGTATTCTTTGCAAACTAGCATCCAGAAATTCCCGAGAGGTATTGACTTAAATTCTACCTGAAGAGTTTCATTACTGGATAGCTCTGTGAGCTTTTCTTGAGCTGTTATTAGCAGATAAGAAGTTACTCAACCACATTTTTCCGTTGATTTTTATAATTTACCTGCAAATTGACACTGAACTTTTTCAAGAGTAGAAACAATGTAAGAAGGCTATAACTTAACTCATTTTATTCAAAGAATTCACTGCAGCAAGGAAACACTTCACAGTTTCTATTCTCAAATTGTTCTTTCCACAGCACAAGATTTTGCAAAATACAAACACTTTATCACTCAGCTGCAAAATATTGCTATTCTGATTTCATTGAGTTTATTGAAAATATCAGACAGGTAGCACAGTACTAGAAGCCACTTTTCATCCATAGTGAGGGATTACAGACTAACAAAAATGTTCAAAGTTTGTCTTTCAGCTGCAAAAAATGACCGAATACTTTCCTGCAAAACAACCAATGCACTTCTGTATGCAGCAGGAGTTTGTTGTACATAAATCCACAAGGAATGGAAAACAGCCCAATGTTAAAACTTCTTGATTTCACAACACTCACAGCATATTGTAACATTTTGTTTGCTTTAGGCTACAACTTCTTTGAAGCTAGTGCTTTCCTGTGTATGCTACAATATGTAAATGGTACACCTGGAGCAAGAATATTTATTTTAATTTTTAACTCTTTCTTGTTTCCCATAAATGCAGCTGCCCAATTGGTGCATATGCCAACACAATTAATCCAAGAAAGATTGTTGTAAAAACTTATCAACAAGAAAGAAGATGGCTTCTTTTGTATCTCTCCCTTCCATTGCTTGGTAAAATAGAAATTCTTTATAAACTTCTTTGTAACAGCATTGTACAAATACAAGATGCTGAACTAAATCTCCAACACCTATAGTTTCATCAAGTTTTATGGCAAATTGTACACTATTCTGGAAACATGTTGTCAATTACATTTTTATTACTTTGGAAAAGTATCACATAATAAAGGGGATAGATGTTAGGGCCTTACTATACCTTATGCATGATTTCACGCATTTTTATGTCAGCAGGGATTACATCTATATACTTTGGAAAAGTATCACATAATAAAGGGGATAGACTTTAGGGCCTCACTATACTACATGATTTCACAAATTTTATGGCAGCAGGAAGAACTAATGTCTCCTCTACTGTATGGCTTCTTGCTTTTCCCAATCAAATAAGATTCTTCTAAAGAAACATTCAAGGATTATTATGAAACAGTGACCTGCTTTTCAAGCAAGCTGCTATACCCTTTCAGTTGTTCCGCTTGTCACTTGGAGAACTCAGTGGTGTTACTTACATGTTCAATGTGTTTGGTTTCTAAATGCCTTGTAACATTATTTAGCTTCATCCTGTCATTAGCTAAAAGCTGCAAACAAATAATGTACTTCAATTATTCATCAGTATTAACAGCTTTGTTAGTGAAACCAGATTTTAAATAATTCTCCTGCTACTGACAAACTTTAGTTTTTGGTTTGGTGTTCAATTTATTGACAGAAGCAGTAGAAAGAAACTGAGGAAGTGCTTGGTCTAGCTACAGAATAATTTATTTGTTGTTCATTATTATCGTCATTTAATTGTTTCTTCTGTTTGTTTACTTCTGAGTTATCACTCAAAGAAACATGATAGTTTTTATGTCAGTATGTAACACCCATTTATCCATGTTTTTGATACACTAGTCAATGTACACTAATGTCCAAAACTTGAAACTAACAAGGTTACAAATGTGTAAAAAAATCTCCTGATATCTCAGCCATCCAATCAACAGTCATATTGCCTTTTGCATGGAATGTAGCTTTGACTATGTAGTATGTTCTCATATCATTGGTTTATAAACAATGTGATACTTTTGGCTTCCGGCATAATGCATCTCTGCACCCTGATTAAGAGGGGGGTATTGCTGCCAGGGATTTTGAATGCTTCTAATAAAATTAAGTTTTTGAACTTCCCATTTTTATATGTAAACATTGTAAATGGCTATTTTATGCTGAATTAAACAAATCTTTTCTTTACCTAGTGGCAAAAATAACAATAAATACAGCAGAGGTTTAATTAATTAAATAGGTTTAAGGATTACTGATCAGATCATCTATCAAGTCAGTTCCACTTACAAAATAACCCTAAACAATCAGTGGTTTGAAGGAGGAAGTACCTTGTTTCATCTTATAAATATTGTGAACCGTGGTATGTGTCCAAGCATTTGTCTGTCTCACATATGAAAAGGTACGCAGGGAAAGCTCAACATTCACTTCTGAAATGATGGGAGTACAGGCATGAATAATGTTGATCCCAAATTTGATCTTGTAAGCAGGATGTTGTACACTAAATTGTTAGGAATTAATCACACTGTCATTTACATTTCAAAATGGGATGTAACGTAAAGAATAAAAATGTAGATTTCCCATATGTTATTACTGAGTGGCTCTTAGCATGACTGAAATGCTCAACAATTACTTTTCACAGTGGGCAATATACGTAGCTCAGAGCTTTGGCTCTGAGTGAAGCCAAGTGTGCCACACAATTAACTTTTTCAAAGTCCATGAAGTCATTTAAATTGATAGATTAACTTAAAGTTTTCCCATCACTGGGGATGGGTACTTTTGCTTGTAATTTATAGATTTAAAATTATTGCCATAAACAGCTAGGTGTAGTATTTTGGAACAGCATTAGCCACTACCTAGAACAAAAAGATTTCCTGTGACTGGAGTGAGAAGACTTTTGCTTTTTTGTACGAAACTGTTTGAATAGAAAACAATTTCTGTGTATGAGGGGTTAATTCATTACTGAAAATTAAAAAAAAAAAGAGAGTGAAAAAATAAACGTTTTTGCTGTGTAACTTTTTATTTGCTTTTTAACATGGTATTAATCTCTATTCCATTTTACAACTTGCATGCTAATGCATCTGTTTTAATTTGTACTTTCAAGTGTAATTTATATACTCCTACATTCATAGTTGTGCACCCCCACTGGATTGTAGCATACTACTCGTTACTTAATCATAGTGTAGTGACTTACTTAAAATATATTACTGCCATATTTTGAGGATTTATAATTAAAACTTACAATAAGATTATTATTTCTGCCATATCTAGATATTCCAGATTTCAATTAGAAAGTCATGAAATTGTATTTTGCAGGTTGATGAGAGTGCCATCTGCTCTTGGAGTATATCCTAAATCAAATGTGACATTGGGCTTTAATATGCTTAGAAACTGGGGTCATAGGAGTGAAATATCTTGTTGCAAAATTTACAAGAAACTTTATATCTCTGGTTGCCATCTATTTAATCTGAGATAAAATGTATTGCTTTTGAATATTTTAGTCATTTACATTAGGTTGCTTAATGTCTTTACATATTTATTATACATATCATTAAAAATAAAGGAAGAATTTTAGTTTATTGTTAGTTTTTGTAACTGTTAGTGTAAATGGACATAAGTAAAATAAAATACAAACATGCTTTCTGGAGAGAGATTATTAAAGTGCTTAGACTTGTAGGAATATTTTATCTGAAGAAACAGCTTATATGACACATCTTAGTAAATAGTTTAGTAAAAAATTGTTTTCAGGAAAAGTCTTGTGAAACAAGGAAGTACAAGTGTTTGGCTGCATGTTATAATGTGAAGTCTAGTCAATGTCATGTTAATAAATTATGTTACTTCTTCTTTGATGTTTATTACAGGCTACAATTACTTGTACACAGTTGTACACCAGTAATATTTCAACTTTCAAAAGAAATGTATTCACTAATGATACCACAACTAATGTATAAGTAAACTTACTTGTACAATTTCTTGGTTAATTGATCAAGTAACTGAATATACATAATAATCCACACTGATTTGAATACTTTACATTGACTGGCACTCACCCTCCAATGGCTCAGTGGTAAATCTGAGGGCTCAAACTGCTAAGAACCTAGTTTACATATTTGTAATGAGTGTAGCACAGATAGCTCATTGTGTAACTTTGTGCTTAACAGCAAATAATGAAGAGTGGCACTCTACTGACTTAAACTGAACTCAGTTCTTTGCTGATTCTCATATCTATGATGTAGCCTTGTTTCTATATACTTGCGAAGTCTCAATCATTAACGCCCACAAATATTAGATATTTTAGTTTAATTATAAACTCACTTGATTTTAATGTTATGTGCCTTCTAGCAAAGATCTAGCTTAAAACATTGAAGATATTGCTTACCCAAGTAATGAAAAATCACTTTCAGTGTGAAATGACAAAATTATTTTTGTTTTAGTAAATTAAAGTTTTGTTTTGTTTAAGCACTCTCTAGTTTGATTATGTCTGTAAATAAAATGAAGTATTTATTTTATGTATTTTTAGGCTGGTGGATGGTCGTTGCTTCTGTAATTGCTTTTCTAATGTTTACTGACTGCTTAATCTATTGGATTCATCGTGGCCTCCACCACAAGCTGGTGTACAAACACATTCACAAGCCTCATCATAAGTGGAAGGTACTGTTTTTCATTAATATGAATATTGAAAATTCTGTAACTTGTAATCATCAGTCATAGGTTTTAGTGAATGTTTCATGAAACAAACTTGTCAGGTACTATATAATAAAAGAACAACAGGGTAATTCATTATATACATGTAATTTATCATGTTACTAGGCATGTGACAATCCTAAGAGTTAATAATAACATAATAATGACATAATATGACATTAATGACATAATAATTATATTCTTCTAAGCAATTTAACAAAATAGTTTGCATAAAACTCATTCAAGTAAACCTCATTTAAAATCAAAAGTCTATCTTTCAGATTGCACATGTCTAAAATGCATGTGTCAAAGAGACACAAGCTGGTCATTGAGTTATTTACTTGGTTACTCTGGTAGCTCTAAGACATCCAAAACTTAGTGTCATGTACTGTTACTAAATTAAAACTCATCTTTCCAATCAATGATGTAAATATACCCCTGCAGCCCCTGTGTGTGTGTGGGAGCGAATCAGCCAGAATTGTAACTATAACTATAGGAAAATAAATGTGTAAATGTTTTATGTGTATGGAGGGGGTATCTTTTATACTTATGCCACTGGTTTCAGTACAAGTTCTCCAAAGTTTTATTAGCTGTATGTGTCATTAATTCAGGGTGGCAGATATAAAGTATGAATGGCTGTAGATAATCCTTCTGTTAAATTTCAACCAATTTAACTTGGAAGCTTAATAACTCCTTCCATTCTTTCAGTCAGATATAAAAATAATATCAACTGTACATAAAATTATATTTACTACTTGAAGATGAACTGTGGCTACTGATAATGGAAGGGCAAGTTAAAGCTAAGGTCTTGGAATTACTTGTGTTTTTTAAGCCTTATATTAATATTCTTACTATTTGTAAAAATATCCATATAATTTAGAGTTATTTTGAGAACTATGTCAGATAAGTTATTTGTATATGTTTAGTTTAGACATTTTATAGTCATTTATGGATAGTACATTATACTTAATGAATCTTATCATGGTTTTAACAGTCTACAAGGCATGATATCCTTTAAGCTCTTATTTAAAATTTGGACTGAATTTGGCTTTGAATTTTTTTCTATACTTTATCATTAATTTTTTAAATTGAAACTGGGCATTCTAACTTCAATCTGGTAGAAGTAATAATATTAAATCACATTATATACTGTTATGACGGCGGAAGTCACGAGACGCTGGGAGTATGCGCGCTGGAGTTTCTAGAAGGATCATGACTTATCGAGGAACTCCGTGAATATCCGAGTGTTTGCCAGGCGCCCTCTTTTTTAGTATATAAGCCCGGCAAATAATACCAGAGATAGATATGCAAATAGATTGAAGAGATAGATATGCAGATAGATTGAAGAGATAGATAATTGAGTCAAGTGAACAGTAGGCACCATAAGTAAAGTGTGTGAACCACTGTGTTTTATAGCGTGTGTTATGAAGGTTCTTAAGTTTAAAGTGACTGTGGAAATTCTGTGTATTACAAAGTTGTATCGAGAAAGAATAAACTAGTTTTAATTAAGAAAGGACTTGTACCGCTGAAGTTCCTTTGAAAGAATTTATACTGGAAATTGACAAACGAGCAGATACTTAACAATACGTTGGATATGTGGTTAAAAAAAAATATATATATATATATATATATATATACACACACAATAAAAACTTAATAAAAAGTATAATAAGATACAAAATAATAAAAAAGCAATTAAAGTGGTTGTTGTTGGCCTGTTGCTTCTCTGTGATTGGGGGTTTTGGATTAGAGGTGGTGCCACACTACCTACTTGAACCGCACACTTACAACTTGCTGTGAGAGGACCCTATTATCCAAGGGAAGAGAACCTAACTGATGTTAAGCTCCTTTAGCATGTAAATCATAATGACCTACATGTTATTGTGAGGGATGGTTTAGATACACTGTTAGCTACTGTACAAGTACATTATGCTGTATGTTTAGTTTAAATACAATGCAGAGTTACCAGCTGTGTAGGTTTAGTAGAAGCTATCATGTTTAGTTCAAGTGCAGAATGTATTTTGTTTACCAGCATGCAGTGTTACTATGTGTTTTTTTATAGTTATAGTGTTTAGGTTTAATTACATTAGAATTAGTGTGAGTTCAGTTGTAAGTACAAGTACAGATTTATCACTATGTTAGAAATAATTTAATGTAATTTTATTATATGTTCAGGCATCAGTTTGAGACAAGGACTGATCTATTCATAAGATCAGTCCCAGCATTAACTACTTGGAGCCTAGTTGTATGCTATAATAAGGCAGATTACTCTCTGAATATGGGATCAATGTCCAACACAATTTGGATATGCAAACTGTACAAGATAGCACCACATGTACTGGGTAGGTTAAGAGACCATCAAGTGGAGAGGATACTTTTCCACATACTGTTACTACCCGGTTAACAATTTTACATTGTACTGTGGTGTTGGCCATGTTGTGACTTTATGTTGCAAAAATGTAACTTTGTATGATAGAGCAAACATTGCAGTAAAAAAAATCCTACAGCCTTATGAAGACATTCAATTGTCAATAAAAGATTCCTTGTCTTCTTCTCTTGGATTTGAACCAACACCATTCACACCCGGGTGAATGCTCAGATAGGTTAACTCACTAGTTCTTGCAATTAAGTCACTTTTTTAACAACTCAAACTATCACAACTATTTGAAATTTTAACATTTTATTTTTTTCTTTATAATACATATGATTATACATTTTTCCTTTCCTTAAATTTATTATATTCAAGTAATTATTTGATCTTAAGTATTATTAAACAGAATATGTAAGATTCTTATTTTATTATACAGCTACAATGATTGAGGTATTTATTCTTCAATTTGTGTAAAAGTTGAAACCTTTGCCTATTAATTCTCTACTCGTTATAATTTGTTTTCAACATTTTCCACGTATATATAACAACCTTAATACCAGACGTCAGATGTTACTAGGATTCCTTGTTTTAAAAAAGTGTTCCACAAAAGGAAAAGTATTTAATTTAGAGAATAGTCTGCATAAATGTCACCTATTGCAACAATACTGTGTACATTTTCCAGACAAATATTGTTTTACATGTTTATAACAATGTTAAAACCATAAGTTTGGTATCTACAATTACTCAACTACTAACACACATTATAATCAATCAAGGGAAACAAATAACCAAAATTAGTTCATTTTATATATTAGGCAAATGCATACTTGGCCAAAGTTAAAAATCTAGTGTTTTGAATATTATTTAATTATTCTAAATTTAAAGTCAAACAACATGAACATTAGACTAATGTCAATCACTTTTTATAAAATAAAATTTGGTTATTATAAATTTATCTTACAAAGTTTGAAAAACATTAGGGAATGATTAAGAATAAAACTAAAAAGTGTATTCCGATGATATAGCATTATTGAAAATATTGCGTTAACAACACTGTTTTAACTTTGCCAGGCTAGATGTTGTAATGTTTTATTTTTACAGTGATGATATGATATTAATTAATTTTTAAAAGTTAGCTGTGTAATCAAATTTTCAGAATTTTTTCATGAAGGAAGATAGTCTTCCACTATAGAAATTTAATATTTTGGATTAATTGATGTTGACCACATAATCCTAAAGCAGCCTAAAAGTCAAACAGAGGTAAAATAACATCAGTTTATACAACTTAGAATAGAAAATATTACCATACATATAAAATAAAATGTGTTTAAACTAATGTAATTTATCTGGCTTTCTAACTATGTAAGAAATGGCTTAAATAATTCTTGTACCTAATCAAGCAGAGCTCCAACAGTGGGCAAACTAAGAAAATTATGCCAAAATGTTGAAACTTCTTACTGGAAAAACTTGAGCTGTCAGTAAATTGAAGTTTTCACTTTCTTTTGATTAAAAATAATCCAACAGCAAATGTTGTAGAGAACTAGTGACAATTTTTGAAACCAGGATGTCCTAAGAGGGGCATGGCACATGGTCTTCATTTTATTACTTATACCTCCTTAATTTGACTATTCATAGAAACATTTACATGCAACATAGACAACACAAGCCATTTAACAATGATTCAAATTAACTTAAATAAATAAAGCAAGGATAAAATCCGCCTCATCAGAGAATTATAATTATTAGAAAAGTGTAAAAACTTCATATCAAAGGTTCACATTAAGCATAAGAAAACCTTTTACCATCAATTTACCAGAACTAATACATTAATATAAACACAACCTTTTAACATTTTAAATGAAACACTGTCTCAAAATACTTCATTAAAAGGAAGTGAAACTCTTCAGTGAAAATTATTTAATTTCTTTCCGAAAAACAAAATTCTGTAACTATCTTCCAAAATTCATGTCATTTTTGAATAAAATACACTAATATAACCCTTTACTTAATGAAAAACACATAAACACCCTTTAAACAACATGTTACAGAATATACCCTTTAATATAAAATTTGTATAACAAATTATGGAAATGTACATAAAATCATAAGTAAAAACTAAGAAAAATAAGGAAATAAACAAGATGCAAAACTACATTGTACACTTTAAGACTGGGTAGATTAAGGAAATGTCAACAAAATACAAAGTAAAAGCCTTTAACATTGATCATATATCTAAGACAGTTGTGGAAGACCAGGCCAACCAGGGATGCTCCAAATTTCTCTGTCCAGCTCTCAGCTAGCAGTATGTGCTAGAATGTTTGTTAATGGCACACTTTATGAAGTATTCAGTGGCCACTAACACG